CTCATCATCATTGTTAATATTATCATTACTTCTTATCACTACTATAATTATCATTTTTTCCAAAAAAAAAAAAACCAATTACGTCTGCGGGCGTGTAGCAGTGCCGAACTCATCATCTTCGTCCCAGATTTCGCCGTCTTCCAGCATCGGGGATTGCCCAAACAAAGCACGCCCCTTTTTCAAGCTACTTTTCATATGTAAAATCTGATACCTAAAAATAATGATATCTCAATTAATGCAAATTTTTTTTAGTTATTTAACAAAACATAGCGTATTCACAGAAATCCCAATCGACTAGTTTTTTGGAGCAAAAACCGCTGAATTAGTATATTTTTTGTGGAAAATTTGCTGCGAGTACAAAAGAGCAGGGATGCGGTAAAAATTACCGCATTTGCAGATCGGATTTGAAGGAAATGCAATTTTCCTCAAATGCGATCGAAGAATTTTTTTTTCGGGGGGAATATAATTTCAAATTTTTAGTAATATCACCAGGACACGCCCCCACTACCTCGCCCCTCCCTCCCCCTTCCCACAGGTCAAGACAGCTAAATCAGGCGCTTCAATCTTGAGGGCTGCATACTTCCAGTTAGTATCCACCGCCTATTCGATGTATGTGCGTATGCAGTACCGGCTATGCTAGAACCCGTCATTAATGTCGATAGGTGGACTCTCGGCGAACTCCTAGGGAAGGAGGAGGGGTGCCACGGGGATGCCGGGCGGACTCCTAGAGAAGAGGGAGGGGCTACAGAGAGGAGGAGGGGACGGAAGCAAAGCCCCTCCCTATGCTGGAACTATGCAAAAACTAGGAACAGATGGTTATAACACACTGCTACTTAGAGTTACTTTAGTTTCATTTATGAGCAGTCCCGGGCTTTTATGCAGTACTGTCCCCCTGTGCCGCTAGAGGAAGACGGGGCCGAAAGACCCTTCGCCCCGCCCCCCAGTCCCCATACACTAATCTCTCGGTGCGGGGCCCGCCCACTGGGGAGGTGCTTTGGAGGGAGGGCGGGATCGGCGTACTTTTCGCCCCGCCCCTGTATTCGCCTAGACTAATTTCCAGGCACCAGACTCGTCTACTGATGAGGCCAGGGAGGTTTCAAGGTCAAGCTGGGCTAGGCCACCAGGCGCCTGGTTCAGTCATTCAGTGCCGCCACTGGACCTCTGAGGCCATGCTTGATCAACCGAGAAGCCGAAGCCGAGCCGAACCACCGGACGCCAAGCCACTGCAACCAGATGGACGCCCGCGGAACCCCCGACGCCCAACCACACCAGATGACAAGCAACGTGTCCTCGGACCAACCCAAGCAACAATAACCAGCCATTGCCATGAAATACCGCATTTAATGTGTGCCAAGCTGGCAATTTGCCAAATCGTGGTGCTTTTAGCAAATTAGACCCCTGTGTTGAGGCTTGTGAATCACGTCGACAATGTGAGGGGGGTTGTTCTGGCGGGGTCGTGTTGAT